GAAAAACATCATTTTTTTCGACTTAGTCTCTGCGAAGATGCGTCGCAGTCTTCAACAATTACCAAAAGAATTACCAGGAAGGGTTTGAGGGAGAGTAAGATGCAGGAGAGAGAAAAATGCGAGAGAGGCAGCAAGGGATTGATCAACTCTTTTGCTCATCTAGCAGATCCACTTTCATTTGGAAAGTTACCTATTGCAAAAGGAAATTACCAGATGTTTGCTCTATCACGCCCAAAATGAAAACATCAACAGATATCATGATCGTCTCTGTGGACGATCTGTGGAAGCTATGGTGGATATATTTTACATCGCTATGTACGAAAATAAATTAAAAACAATGCAAATACTACACATCATAAAACCACCAGCAAATAATTCTAGAGGAAAACATCCAGTTTTAAAAATATACATAACTGGTATCAACCAAATCTAAACATATTGGCAGCGACAGCAATTCAGATACAATCAGGACACAACAACGTATAATTGGACATGAAATACTAATAATCACTTAATACAGAAACCTACACCGAGAAACTACGGAAGAAATAACCCCGAAGAACGAAATATATCGACTGTCAAAAATCATAATCTCCAGAAATCCTTTCCCTCTCACATCTTCTACTTACCGACTAACCTCGACGACAATCGTTATCTAACGGATACGGAATCCTTCCCTGACTCATATCCTACCTCACACAAAATCACGAAGCCCAGAACCCACCTCTAAAGCGTAAAACAGGACGATATTGGAAGGGCGACCGCTATCTCCTCCTGACACAAGCTCGATCGATCACCTGACTGGAGAGTCACGAGAATTTTGGCAGAATATTCAGGGTATTTTTAAAACTTCAAAATAATTTAGGTATTTCCTAAATATCTAGAATAGGACGTAAGATTTTATGAAAAGTACTGATTATTTTTTTGTATGTAGATAATAGGTTGAATAAATTCTGCCAATGTATTTCGGAAATTCTTATTGGAGATTACTTTCACAGTAGATTTAGAAAATAACATTATGGGAAAATAGATGAAAATATATTTTTTGATTGAGATGTATAAATGATATAATATGTATTAATATACGGAATATATATATATATATATACATAGTAGATACGTAACTCATGATGATATATTTAGAAAAAAAATACCAGTGAAATATCTTTTTTTTAATTCTAAAGAGCCATCATCTCAACACTAAAAAAACAAACATCTATAAATTTTGTCTATCCCATTAACAAACAACCAGGAAAATGGCGATGTATATATAGATAACCCTTCTCTATGAAGTTCTCCGTAAAATCCCTGTGTAACTAACCTCTCGTGTAAACAAGCGATTGCACTTGGTCTCTGATCCCGACCGATATCCGCAAAACATGTCCACTTCTCCAATTACGGCGCTTTTCCGGCCTATAAATCGCATGAACAGGTCATTAAGGCTTGCAAGAATAGGAAACTATGGCAGAAGAACGCTAACATCAACATCTACCGTCCAAGGGATATCGAAATTTCCTCGTCTACAGCACACCATCCCGGAGAGTTACAATGAGGTTATTTTTTTCTTTATATTTTGGTATGCTGTTGTATTGTTTTAGGAGTAGTTTGGGTCGTAGATGTATTTTGGATTCAATAAGCTATATTGGATTTTATCGAATACTGTTTTTTTTCTGTGCATTGATTACTGGGTGTAAGCAATGATCCGGCAGCCGGTCGCCTAAGGCAAGTAACTATTAATTTCTTATTATTAGTATTTGTTTTAAAACCTTTAGAGTGATAGTGCTATTAAATTTATTGTCAGTGGATTGATTGTGATGTATACAGTACAGATACAGCTGACAAGAAATTTATGTGAGACAGGGTACTTAAATTTCTGTCTGTTGTGTCCCTGCATTGCTTGCCTTGTAAGTGACAGATGGAGGAAACCTAACTTATGTTGTACTTTTAATCCACGGAAACCGTCTGTAGTAATGATGGTAATAATGAGAGTGTTACAGTGTCATGGGATGTCTGTGGATTGTGACTTGATAGCTCTTTGGCATAGGTCAGCAAACCCTCGCCCTCTAACTTCTGGTAAGATAAAGCTTGTTGGCTTCCCTTATGAAGTAATCTAATCTCAATCTAGGCACAATATGCATGGTGAAGTGTATTACAGCCACTATTTCAAAGTGGCTGTATATCGTGACTTGGACTCATCAAGAGTTACGTTGATATGAAGTCCCAAGTTCCATTTCTATTGTGGCTGTGTTTTGTTTTTTCTGTGTATACAGGTTAAAGTGCTTAAATTTTTGTTGATATTTAGTGTTGGTTTACTATTCTCTGGTGAAGCACTTGAAGCGGTAATGTTGTTGCAGCAACCACTGCTGGAGACACACATTGATATATAAGGATATAGTGGGTAGGGCTTCAAGGAAATCAAATCTGAACCTCATTTTGTATATGGTTTTTGCTTTTTTTTTTTTTGCTCTTTTGATTCACTCCATGGTACATTTAATATAATTCCTGTACTCTCTGGCTATTTGCTTCAACGTTGCCTATATAGACAAATGAGCCATCAGTAATAAAATTGTCAAACCAAACTTCCTTTGTATTTATCTGTCTCTGAAACCAGACTCAAATCAGGGATTATGTCTCTCTCTCTCTCTCTCTCTCTCTCTCTCTCTCTCTCTCTCTCTCTCTCTGTCTCTCTGTGTCTGTCTCTCTGTGTCTGTCTCTCTCTCTCTCTCTCTCTCTCTC